TTCCATCAAAACCCTAGATAACAAATTAGCTATTCATAATAGTATGCATAACTACAACACTAGAACTCGTAACCAATAATGGAAATAGAGGAAGAAAGAGGGAAAAACATGAAGTTGAATCCTTCTCCTTCTTGCTCCTAGCATGTTCTTTCCTCCCTAAAGTCTTCTCCCCTTCCAAAGAACTTTTAGGATGTATTTATATGACCTAGATAGGGTGGAGGGCCGTCCAAGGCAATCCAAAATCGGATAGGAGAGCTGGAGGGCGCGTCAACTTTCGTGCAGCATGCGAACCCGGACGCGGACTGAGCTTTTGCAATTTTTCAGCTCGCAAAGCGATCCGTGCCTTCGCTTCGCTTCGCTATTTTGTGCCTTCATTTTTTTCTTTTTTCGCATCCGTTTTCGTGCCACGCACGAAATTGGACGAGCTCCAAATTCTTTCCATCTCTTCTTTTGGTGTCGAATTGTCATCTTTTGATCATTTATCATCCAAACTCGTTCCTACACATAAGAAACACATAATGAGTATATTTCACTTCGAAAACCACGTAAAATCCCGCGACTCACACAAGAATTAATATGTAAATATACTTAAAAATATGCACTCTTCATCATTTATCAATGAGAAAAAGAAGTTGATTTGGGACCTAAAGACAAGAGAAGTACTTCGCTCGTTCACTCTCGCGTGCACACGAGAGAGTGAACGAGCTAGCTGAGGAGAGCTTGAAAAAAAAACAGCGTATTATGGAAAAAAGGCATGGAAGTGCACGAAAGACTTAGAAGGAAAAGAAAAAGAGAAGAACTTCGCTTGTTCACTCTCGCGTGCGCACGAGAGAGTGAACGAGCTAACCTGAAAAGGCTATTCCGAATTTGGCTTGTATTATTTCTCCCAAATCAAACCCTATCTCATATAAATAGTCCTTAAACTCACTTTTGAAAGGGGAGCTTTGACCTAAGGAGGGGAGATTCGACCTAAGGAGGCAAGAACACACAAGGAGCAAGGCGGAGAATTCTTCTACGAGTTTTTTATTTTCTTCTTTCTATTTCTATTGTTGGTTATGAATTCTAGGATTGTAATTTTACATACTTTTATGATGACTATGAGTAGCTAATTCTGCTATCTTGGGTTTGATGGAGCCTTTTGTAGGATGAATTCTTGATACGTTTTGATATAATTGAGTCTTTGAATTTTTCTATTTGTTCAACGACATGCTTATTTTAGTTAATTGAAGAGCTCTCAATTAACGGTGCCTATTTATTATATATTGCTTGAAAAAAAGTACATATTTAGGTAGTTGTTGAACAATGTCACTCCTAACGTATATGAGAGATCAATACGGCGGGTTTAAAAGTGGGATTAGAGATAACGAAGCTTTGACATGATCATAATGAGGGGTGAAAAAGTGCAAGCTACCGTAATTCGAGAGAATATGACTAGTACATTATTGTAGTTGCTCAAGAGAGAATTACGATAAGTCGAGTGCTCACGATCAGTAGAGAATAATTAGGCGAAATTATAAATTACGTAGCGTGAAGGATTCCGACAATTGGGGAAATCATAACTCTAAACCTCCTTAATCTTATCAAATCCTTAGTATCTTTAGTTATTAATTTATTACTTTAATTTGTTAGTAAAATAATTAAACATAAGAATCTTAATATTTCTAACTTAGGAATTGTTCGAGCTTGTCTTCTTAGTGATAGCGAACAGTTTTAGCTAAACCTTAGTTCTCTGTGGGATTCAACTCCGAACTCTTAGACCGGATTATATTTGCAGCGACTGCTTATCCTTTCTAGGACTAGAGTTGGGTGTGATCAATACTCCTTCCATCCCAATTTATATGAAGATACTTATTAATTATGCGCGAAATTAAGAAATAAAAAAAATTTGAAACTTGTTATCTAAAATAAATCATAAAAATTTGTGTGGCTAGAAATTATCTCATTAAGGGTAAAAAAAAAAAAAAAATTAAAGTTAAGTTATTACTAAATATAAAAAGGTGTCATTCTTTTTTGGATTGAATAAAAAGGAAGAATATCACATAAATTGGGATCAAGGGAGTAATGATTAAGGTGCGAATAAGAATAAATTAATTATAAATTAATAATAGTAACATATTTGTGAAGACATATATTATATATTTATTAGATATTCGATGCACATAAGTCTTTACCGTACGTTTAAAATACGTGCTCTCTATTTTAAGTCATACAGTTGACTATCAAGTGGCTATATTGTAAAACGACAATGCCTTATCTTGGGATGATGCAGTCCCAACTTTTGTTGTTATATGTCGATAGAACATGTGGACAGAAAATCTAAAACAAGAGACTCTAGAGAACGAAGGATATATCCTTTTAATTTTATCTCAAATTTTGTATTCACTTAATTGATCTACATTTGCAGGACTTTCATGATTAAGAGGACGAACTAGAGTTAAAATAAATAAACTATGCTTTAAATAAAATAATCGTCTAGATGCATGAAATAATTCAGGCAGTTCAAAATATCACTTACTAAAAATACATAGGGATAGTGGTTCAAATATAACCACCATCCGTTAGTAAAATAATATTTGTATATGTTTAGTCTAATAAAATGAATCAAGTTCACATGTAATGTAAGGAAATATACTCCATTGTAAAGCTTTAATCAATGAATAAAAGTGTTATATATTGTAAACTTTTCACGTGAGAGGGTCCATAAAATTAATACTTTTATTATGTGATCTACAATAAAAAACGGATGATGAACTTGTCTGGAAAATAAAGATGAACAGTACACAGTTCGGAGGTTTAAGAGTTGTAAGTGGACAACCAACGAAATGGCTAGTAAACATATTTTGTCTTTTTGGAACAAAATTCTTCTGGTTAATCAAATAATTAATTATATCCAAAAGTAAAATTCTTTGGACAGAACATGGCCTAAAGTTCACTTGACTATCCTTGGTACATTTTTTTCTTCTTTTTTTTTTTGTGTTTGAAGCTTCTGGAAGTCAAAAATACTTTTTATTTATTTAAAAGAGGGCTTATTTTAGAGAATTGAACTGTCTGATCAAATTTTTAGAAAAAATAAAGCTCTTTAAGTAGTAGTAGAAGTTGTTTTCAAAAGTGAAAAAAAAATCACAAAAGAACTTTTAAAATATTGACCAAGCACAAATTTTGCTCTAATATTAGTAACAAATTTTTTCAATCTGTTTAGCCAAACAACAAACTGCTACTCTAAAAAAATATTACTAACAAAATATATTTTTCGAAATAAATAGATTTTGAAAGTTTCAATCCATAAGCCGTTAACTATAAAATTTCAATCCATTCACCAACCGTTAATCCGATAACCCGATACCAATAACCGCCCTCGTTAGAAAGCCTTAGAGTATGGAGTAGTATATAGTTATAATGTTGAATCAAATGCCAAAGCCGAATTCAGAATTAATATTTGATGGGTTCAACTTTATATTTATTAGATAAAATTCATTGTATTTAAATTATGAATTCAAAATATAATATTTAATACAATATTGGAGGGTGTAGTTGATGGATCATTTGAGTACTATTGCTTTCTTTTTGTTGTAACTAACTAAATGAGGAATTATTATGAATATGCTTGATTGACAATAGGTTTCCTACTAGAGGACTAACTTTATCAAGGTATAGAAACTACTAGATAGGTGGCTAAGTTCATAAAAGCTTATGAGGTTTTCTAAAGAAGGAGCCATGAAGTATAAGATTATTAAAGTCATTATGCTATCTTAAAGAGGATCTATAAAGTATCAAGATTATCGAAGCTATAGGCTATCTATATGATATGTTGATGAGCTATATTACATCAAGTTATCAAGATTATTAAGTGCATTATGTTGTAATTTTTCTTATTGATGAAATTTGTATATATATGAATCAAGGTTAAACAATTTATTGTGTATGCAGTGAACAGTCATGACATTATATTTATATGTGAAATCTTTATTTTGTCCATAGGTTTGGATAAATTTATCACTTGTTGAGTGGCTGCACTTACTCCTTAATTACTATGGGAAGACGAAAATGATATATTTAGAAAATTTAAACAAACATTATGAGAGCTATAAAACTTACTAATCAAATAATTTTGGGCGGGATTACAGAAACATTTACTTGGGTGTTTCTTCATCATACCACTTCCACCACTAATATAGTATGATAATTTGATTTTAGAAAATCCCCTTTTCATATTAGTCAACATGATATAACTTTAGGTATGATACTAGTCTTTACTGAGAGTTTAATGTATATATATTAATTATTCTCTTAATTTTATGTAAATATTATCTTGTGAATCGAGAAACAAATTTACAAGAATATACCAACTCAGTCATTTTTATATTTTCCTTTTATTTTACGAATCATTTAAGCATTATGCAGTGAGATAAGCTAAAATTGCTTATTCTACAACTCAAACAAATGCAATATATACATTGTTTGGCCAAAGTTACTTGAACTATACAAACAAACCAAATACTATTAGAGGCAATGACTAAACTGGTAAACTTTTATTATTAGTAATTGATTCAGACCATGTCTAAGCCTAATGAATGTTTGATGTGCCTTTGGAACTGAATTCTTTAATATTCTAACGAGAACTTCCACCTTCAGATATTGATCGTTTGGCTAAATCCTGCCACTTAAGAGCATTTCTCTTAAATGACTTAATGGTAGATAGTTGAACAAGGTGTTGAATCTGGATTATTTATTTATTTACATTTTTGGTTATTTTGATTGAGGCCTCTGTCAGCCTTTCTATACGGTTTTAATTTTCCCAAAATTGTATATCTTAGAAGCCATCGTGCGTTGATTTGATTTATCTTGCTTGTAATTTGTTCATTTACGTTCAGTCTTGTTCTTATTTGAGCCAATACGTGCTTGTTGAAATGACCCTCTCTTTTATGTTGGTTCCTTATTCCTCTAGAATTAGCGTTTGTCACCATTTTTATTTATTTTCCATGAATTATAATTCAAAGATATACAGAGCAAATATATTGTTTATAGTATAATAATTACAATATTATACATCATACTATATAGATTTAAAAAATTGAGAATGAAAAACACAGTGTTATCGGTGGCTCGTGGAAGAAGTGATACAATCAGAGTTCCAACTTAATCACAAGTCCAGTTACTCAAAACTAGAGAAGCATTGTGCCTGAAGTTTTAATTCTTGTTCCAATCACTCACCCAAGATGAAGTTGGCAATGCAAGGATTCTTGCAAAGAGAGCAGAGGGCTTAGTATGATACCATAATTTGCCATACATCCACATTATACCACAAGAATCTTGGTTAATATTCTTCATCACTGCCTCTCAATTATTTGCACTCTATAACCTGCACCAAGAAATTCATATATGACATGTTCCCTGTTATCTACCTCTATTGTGTTGTCACAAAATATTGCACTCAGAATTGGAAAAAGAAAAATAAACATGCATATTTAGGCCAAGTTTAACATTGACACAACTTCTGCAGAGAACTTGACATTAGAACGGTGACGCGCTTGATAATGCAAGTCCATTTAGAAAAACAGACTTTATATCATATGATATTTTTAAAAGTTACGTAAAAGACTACTCGAATATACAGCTTCATCAAACTACTTATAATTCCCTATCGGCACTCAAGTCAGTAATGTGTTTTGCATGGATAAGTTTGCCCATTACGTTGTTACAACTAATTTAAAAACAGACTGAGGGAAAGAGAGAGAGAGAGTGAATGTTAAAAATCTAACGGTTGTAACACCATAAAAGAAAGCAATTTCAATTTTTGCACAAGTTTATCTATGGTGCTGAATTTTTCTTCTAGATCAGAGGACCTTTACATAACGTAAACAACTGAAAAGATAAAGATCCAGAATATGCAAAGTAGTGTATTGGAAGCATTACCAGGGAAGCTTTAAAGTATCTTTCAACCATCCATGTTTCGAGCAGTTTGCAACAATTTTATCCATGCGCACAATTATCTCTGAAAATGTTGGCCGAACAAAAGAATCTAGATGCCAACATTCTTCAATCAACCTAGACATCCAGTAAGGTGAGTAAGAGAAACACAAAAATCACCACTGAACTTTTGCTAAAGTAATAAGATCAACAAAAGCAATGAGATACAAGAGCCTTGTTAGTGTCAGATGATGGTGGGAGAAGATGGCCAGATTGTGCAAAATCTTGTTGTTATACTCTTTATGATTGATAAAATATAAGGAAATATAAAATAAGGCAATGCACAATAGAAAGCTGGACATTTTATCATCAGATAGATGAACACGGGAAAATGAATCGTCATCCAGAATGAAATGCCCAAGAACTTCAAAAAGCTCTGGTAGGAAAAGTACATCAAACCGGAGAATGCGAGTTTAAAGACAAGCGGACATCACATAATACTGGACTAAGCAATCAGATAGCACCCACCCCAGAAGCCAAAAAACAACGTACACATTTCTTCCGTAAAACAAAACAGCAAAGAACAATCCTTTTCTGAATTCTTTCGCCAAAAGTCATATGCTTTAGAAGCAGCGGCGTATCCAGGAATCTCACCAAGGGTGTTCAAACTTTAAGGAAGTCCGACAATCTTTTTTTTCGATGAATGGGTGCACCGAAATTTTTAAATCAAACCACGCAACATTTAGTTAAACAATTAAAACACTTGTAATAGAACAATAATTATAAATCAAACCTAACATAAAACAAGACAACAAAAGAAAAAGTAAGCATAGAACAGAGGAAAGAGAGTCTGCAGTATGTTAAGGACTTTTGTAGAAGAAACTTTTGTAGAGCTTGACTTCTAAATTATAAAATTTGTTTAAGAAACAACTTTTAAGATTAGTTGTTTGTATTTATACAGACTTTAAGTTTTAAGAGTTATTTATTAGGAATTCTTTTAGATTGAAAAAGAGTCAAATGGACCACACATTGTGGTCTCCATTTTGTTTTGGCAAACAAAATGAGCCGACAAAAATGTTTGGACAGGGATTCAAACCCGTGAACAACACCTTACTTTGAACATCCTGGACCGCTGGATTACCTCACTCAACTGTGTTAAGGTGGCTCAAAATATAATATACAACCCTATAAAGTAATATTTGACATATATACACAGTATTTTTATTCGGCGAAGGGGGTTGCTACCACCCTTGGCAAAGTGTGGCCTATGCCACGGATTAGAAGTACTAGGAGCATGGCAGGGAACATCTGCTATATTAGTACATGATGTTGCTACTCTATAACTGCGGACAAACTGCAAAAGACCAGATGCATCCGAGTATTTAAAAGAAAAATTAACAGCTGGGCTTACTCTTTAAGGTCCGGCGGATACTTAGATTTTGACTTGAATGATGGTCTTTTACCCTCTTTGCACATCAATCTAGCAGCCTCCTCAGGTGATTTGGGATGAAAAGGCGGTGTTCCCTCCATCATCTATACCCAACAAAGTTTAATTAAAACTCAGAGTAAACTAAATCATATAGCAGCACAAGATAAGAGCTCTAGAAATTCCAGGAAGACTGAAAAAAAACATTAAACACAACAAGATCATTCATGTCACAAAGTATGCCAAAAACAAGGAATCTAAACTAGTTTGTATTAGGTCAGCAAAATTGACTAGAGTTTTCTGAAAATAAAATAGAAAAGACATTTAAGCAAAAGAAGAATGTTTGAATTCTACTTCATAACAGTGATGTTCCAATTAGCTAAAATAATTATGTTAAATGATCTGAAATTGAATTGGTACCTCATAAAGTAATACTCCAAAAGCATATACATCCACACTTCTATCAAATATTTCATCTTTATAAATCTCAGGTGCTGTATAGGGACCTACAAGTAACAAGAAAGAAAATGTAACAGTCAACAATTGCGTTGCAATTACAATTCCTCCTGTCATGAAATAAGAATACATTTAAGTCCATCACCTGAAGTTTTTACAGTGGACACTAATATCAAACTAGAAGCCTCTTTTTCTGCCTATTATTGTGATTAAATTATGTGTGCTCAAGTTTAAATATTTACTTGCACGGTCAATGCCTTGAGGCTGCACCAACTTTGCTTTGTCAGGTGAAATGTTTGACAATCTAGTTAAACCAAATCCTGCAATTTTCAATAGACCTCCATTGTCCAGCAAAATATTTCTGGCACCTTACAAAAATTACAAACATTAAAAGAAGTAGATACCTCAATGAGTGCACTGAAAAAGATCATTTAACATCTGAGAATCATAAAGCATTTAGTTTTCTTACTTTGGCATTAAAAGACAATGGATAATTGGGTCCGGTTTACATTCATGAAGATAATTCATGCCCCTGAAAATCAAGATCATATGTCATAACCAGGATTGCAACCAAAGAAAGTAGATCATCTTATCAGCATAAAAAATTAAAAATTAAAAATAACAAAAGAATTCTCGAGTGCACTAATAGAGCCTTTTTTCACATGAAAGAGAACAGACTTGCCTGGCAATATCAAGTGCATATCTTAGAACCTTAGAAGCAGATAGACGTCCCTTCTTCTGAAGATAGCTACCCAAGTCACCCTGAAAAATCAACAATAAATGAATGCTACAACCATTGGAAAGTTCAGCGAAGCAACAATAAATAAAGCGCATAAAATTGAATGTACTATTGATGTAAGAGCAGATCAAAATATTTTTCTCAATATTATGCATGCATAATAATATACAATATTTGGTGTGTAGGCGGATAGAGTGAAGAAGGGATTTTGTGGGGAACAAGTGAGATAGAGAGAGCTTACACTTGGATGGTACTCTAATACGATCATCATTGGAATATTTTGTGTAACGGCTCCAACAAACTGAACAACATTAGGATGCCGTACTTTTTCCAACAAAGTTAATTCATGTTTGAAAGCATTTCTGCAGAAGAAGGACAAGGAATTAAGGCATATTAACAGCAAGGGAAAAAGCAGTTTACTGAACAACAAGAATTGACAAATCCTAAATAACAACTCAAAAAGTGGTTTGTCCAAATGTGAAGCCAAAAGAACACATCAAAAAAGAATTGAGAAGCTACACGGCCTAATAATTAAAAAATTGGTTCTGCAAGGAGAAAAATGTGAATTATGTACAAGACTGCAGCTTTAAGAAGTCCGATCTCAACACCAAAAAATTCTCCCCAATTACAAAAAGTTCTCATCAATCGTTAGACCAAGATATATTTCAGAAGATAGTCTAAATGATCTTTTTATAATATAGTAAAACTAAAGTAGCGGTTCTGTCCGCTCTCATGAATCAAGGCACTTGGATATAATGCATCTCCCCTGAATCACTTCAATGTCTGGGTGCAACTTTGTGGCAATCACACATGAATCAAAATAATAAGTTTTTCTTAAATTAGACAGGCACCAGAAAAAGGATAGTGTACGCAGTTTCATTTTCGACGAACTGACGATCATAGCTAGTGGCAGTAAAATAAAATCAAAGAAGCTTGGTATGTATGCATCCAAAATTTGGAATTCAGAGAAATGTTAGGATGAATAAGGTAAACTACACAAGGAGGCTGTCACAAACAACATATGTGAGCATCGACTTATTACGTATTATACTATTATGCTACAACCCAAGTTCGAGTAACCCCAGCCTACATAACTAGGGTGCAGAAAATGCAAAGAAGCTTATAGAATTATGCATTCCAGATTTCTGGTTTTAGGGAAATGTTAGGATGAAATTGGGGAAATGCCTAACAAGAAGGCCACCAAAAGTACCGGGTGTGATCCTCATTCCTCAACTTATTACATATTACTGCAAATCCAAGATGCATCCATGAGCTCAATCTGCCAGCATTACAGAAACATATGAATATAAAGAGTATTTATCTACTAGGCTGGATTTCCTTTTGCGATGCACAATTTCGTCTTTCTATCACTTTAGATGCTCAATAGATCAGATTCATGGATAAAGACCTTGAAGTATGCTATACATTGGGATTCACCTAAATGAAACTCTATGACCGGATGATCAGAAGGAAATGCACCGCTATATTTTTGACAGATGTATTTCCAGCTTCTTCAGGGATTTTGGTTTTCTTATGAAAATTTCATAAAGGCACCTACAAGCCATCCAATACCGTGTTCACAATCTACCAAGCATAAAAGAGCAAAGAACCACCTATTAACCGTAAATAACTATGTTGCTCGGACTCTTCAAAAATGACTCGGTGTTCATGTCGAATCCTCCAAAAGTAGGCAGCATTTTTGGAGAGTACCAGCAATATAGGTAAATAAAGGTCAGTGTTAGATTTAAGAGCACATAATGATGTCATCAACTCGCCCACAAGACTGTTTTATAACAGAATGCAACTTAGAGGAACAGCCTGCTTAATCAAACATGAAAGTACTCCAAGATGTCTTGATTTCTTTTGTTGGACAATTGCTTGTTGGCTAACACTAGGAAACTTTTCCTAGTTTTCTTAGCCAGATTCCTTCAAACGATAAGCCTCAAAGTTAATATTAGCAGTCTGGGCTTCGCCTATAGACGCAAGAAAATAAGTCCAAACGGGATACATGAAATGTCCCCCGAGTGAAAGTGAAGAAAACAACGGTTTCAACATGTGACAAGCCAACCTAAGCTGGATAAAACATCTACCAAATCTGCACCGCAAAATTTAATAACCAGATCAATGTATCATGTCAAAGCTTGCTAGTTACAGAGAATCAGGCAACATGGTTACTAGCTGAAGTCCAAAATAGTAGAATATTTCCCAATCCGAGAACAGAGTGGCCTATGGGCATGAAATAGAAGATTAACTGAAAATACGTTGACAACATACATGGTTTCGGGGTCTGAATAGCTATCCTTGTCAAGTATCTTGACAGAAACTTTTGTCCCATTCCATTTAGCAACTTGATATGAACCCTGTCAAAAGTCAAAAGAAAGTTGCAGCGAAGTTGTTAAGAAAAGACTGAAAATTAGCTGTGCAAAATCAAGCACGAAATCCGTGAAGAGGCTATGTCACATAACACAAGAGGAGAGGCAAGTGACCACATATATTTCATAGCTTTCTTCAGGAAGCAAAGCAGGAAATAAATGTTCAAAAGTTTGCAAAAAGTTAGAAATTTGAGGTGAGGCCTCCTACGATAGTTTGAATTTTAACTCGCTGCAAATGAGGTATGTTTGATGACCTAATTGGATTAAGACGTTTCACCAATTCACAAGCTGAATATTTAAAGGTAGACCTAAAATTTCAGAGTTACGACAAAGTGCTCACTGCAACCATCAGAAGTTAAAGAGGATAAACTATTTCTGATTTCAGATAAACATGTAGTAAGATGATCTCCTGGTTATGTATGGACCAAGGCATAGCAGCAATAGTCAATCTCTTCTGTAGAAAAATCGCAGCACCATCCATTTCAGTTTTAGTTCACGACCAGAAGGCTGCATCTTCGAACATAGGTTACTACTTACTACAAAGTATACAGTTCTTCTAGTGAAAATCAAACAGCTTACCATTACAACTTCTGAAATTTTCTTATACTACGCATACTGCACACATGGCATTTTAATGCTTTTATCATTTATCAAAATTAAAACGTCCCACGGCTTATTTTGAAATCTTAGATACACCTTACCTTCGAGATTCCATCCCTTTTCCGGATTTGAAGCTCCAGTGGATTGAGTTCATATTCTGGAACTTCTCGAGGATTTGCTACAGTCATTGGTGTGTTTCTGGTTTTCTAGCAACATGACTTATACTCAGTGCCATATTACAATAAAACTCACTCTAACCAGAAAATTATCTTCCCACTTACCGGGATTTTGGCCCCCCGGGCCTTTAAGATATTGTAAACTTCAACATTTCCATAGTATTTCGCATCAGCTGCAGCCTGCATTATGCATTTGAATCCTTATAAATAGTATTTGAAAAATAAAGAGATATATAGTCTGTAAATGTCACAGGTTTGCATTTTCCCTCTCAAGTAAGATTTGCTGAAGCCGCTTGAACCCTTTTTTATTCTATAAGACCTAGTAAGTCCTTTCTCATCTTATGTCAACATAATTTTCTTGTTCCTCTAATCCTTCTCATGATTATTCACAGATCAGGGAAGAAACTAGCAACAGAATAGTTTTCCAGGCAAACCAACTTTTGTTCCCCATAGATTCACAGTTGCTAAAGTTTCTGAAGAATTGAAACTTTATTCCACACCCCTTATTCATATTTCCTCAATATAAATCTAAAGTTACAATTTCCCATATTTACTTGAACCTAGATTTCATCAATTATCAGGGACAATATATCAAGGAGAATAGCAAACAACAATAAATAAATAAAATATTATCACATTTCGGGTTCATTGTCGTGCAAATGTTGATTGAAACAAGTGATAAGAGTAACAGCAGTAAAAATGACTTACACCCCTAAGTGAGAAAGATATTTCACGTTACATTTTACATAATTTAAGGTAAGATCCAATATCCCTCCATCCCAATTTATGCGATGGTATTTCCTTTTTAGTCTGTCCTAAAACGAATAGTACATTTCCGTACTTATAGCAACACAAATGTATGTCTTGTCTTAGACAACAAGTTCTAATTTTTTTTCTTTGTTCTCTTAAACTATGCATTCAGTCAAACACTATCACATAAAATGGAGTAAAGGACGTATTAATACCAAAGACAATAAATCAAACATTTAGAAGTTTATGATCCAAAAAATGGTAAAAATAGTACTCCCTCCATCTCAAATTACTAGTAGTGATTTCTAAAAATAGTTGTCTCAAATTATTTGTCATTTTAGAAATTCAAGACAAAATTAATTATATTTTTTTAATTGTACCCTTGACAGTAATTGTTCTTGCAAAATAAATAGAGAAATACCACAGATAATTTGCCACAGGGAGAGTAATTAAGAAACAAAAGTCTACCGTGCTTCCCCAACGATCACGAGCATCAAGATTAGCCTTCCGACTCAACAAAAGCTTAACAACCTCAACATGTCCTTCACACGCAGCAATATGCAGAGCAGTCCTTCCATCTAAATCAATGCTATTCACATCAGCATCATCTTCATCCAACAAATCCTTCACGCCCTTCACGTCTCCTTTACACGCCAAAAACAACAGTTGCATCGTCGAATCCAAATTCTCCGGCACGGCATTAGTCGTCTCATTTTCTAACGATGGAATCCTCCGTATTGGATCGAGTGACGATTGCCTCCCGAAACTGAACCTTATGTTCTTGCTCTTTGGATCCAATGAATTTTGTCTCTTGAAACTGAATTTTCCGCTCATTCTCAATGATCCTGTTGAGAATTGCCTCGATATTCCTCGTTTCAATTGCGCTTTTACATCCATTTTCAATAATTTCACCTAAATAAAAGAAGCAAAACCTATAATTATTCTTTTTATATCAGTGAGCTCGTGAATGATCATTTCATTAACGAGAAACGGGAAAGCATTTGATGGCGAATATTTGTTCTGAAAGAATTGAAATTTTGGTAGTTGAATGTGCAGAATTGAGAATGAAATTTAGAGAGAGAGAGAGAGAGAGAGAAAGAGAAAGAGAGGTGTGTTACAATGGAAGGAAGGAGGGAAGGGGTTGGACATTTTCAGGTACATCACAAAGCTTCCCGGAAAATGCGTTACTGCTGTTGATATGTCACCTCTAATGTGAATTTGTGACAAGGGTCCACTTTTTTTCCTTTTTTTTTTTATTTCTTTTTGTTTTGTTTGTTTTTTATTTATAAAAATTAAGTCGATATCATGTGAGTCAACAGTAACTTTTTAGCCAGACAAAAAAAAAATTATTAGTTTTTCTAGTACATGAACAATGAAACTTGAACTCACATGCAGAAAAAAGTAATTTTCTATGTATGAAAATAATTATAAAAATATTCGTAAAGAGCCATAATCAATGTCTCATTGTGTGAGAGATATTTACCGGTACCATTACATAATAAATGTTATTGAATCTGCAACTATGTTTTTTTTCCACACGAGAACCAATGATCTTACAGAGGTTTTGAACCCCTTTAACCACTAAATTATGCTTTTGGGCTGTGTCAAGGGGATTCAAACGTAATACATAGAGGTAAAAAAAATAGATTTCGCCTTATATATACAGTGTAATTTTTCGGTGAAGGGTGTTCGGGTGAACACTCTTCCGCCCCTGCACACGAGTTATAAGTGTATCATATATAGAGGCCATTTGAGTTTCGCAGATTGTAAATTGTTGATGAGCTTGAAGTATTGCAAAAAGATTTTTTAAGTGTTGAAAGTGATTTTATAAAATAAGCAGTTATGTGTTTAGATATAAGTGCTAAAATAATTGATGTGTTTGGTAAAAAAGATATTAATAAATATCTTTTATTAAATATACTCAAATTAAAAGATTCTAAATTAAAATTATCTTCGTGAAGAGAAGAACGAATCAGGAATACGGAATGAAGAGAAGTTAGAAGTTCTATTATAGAAATAGAATTTTATGAATTAAAAAATAACTATTAAGAATAAAATAGTAGGAGTTCTGACTAAAGTGAAAAAATCATAAGTTGGGTGCAAATTTTATGAATTAAAAAATATAACTAAGGATAAAATAGTAGGAGTCTTAATCAAACTAAAAGTGCGTATAAGCTGAAAAATCATAAGTTGAGGGTAACCAACTTATGACTTTTGACGAAGTTTAGCTTATAAGCACTTTAGGTGATTATCAAATATGTAAATAAACCAAAAGAAAATATTTATAAGGCAATTGGACCAGCTTATACCTTAGCCAAACACCCTCACAATCATATATTGCTAGATAGTTTTCCTAGGCAAAAGATAGTGTGCTCAGTGCATCTTATATAACGTTCTCAAATGCAAATTAAAGTTGATTTCTTAAATATATAGAATAACTCAAGAATAACAATTTGTTGCTTCGTAATAGAATAATTCAAATAATCGTTATAAACGGATATATGAATTTATCATCGCATACCTTCCGAACTTTAAAAAAGAAAAGAATATTCACTCCTCCTCCTCCACTTCCAAAAATAAAGTTTTTTCTTTACATTTTCCCAATTCATAAGGGTACAATTTCAAGCTTACATATTAACTTTTAATATTATTTGAATAAGATTGATCGATGTTTTATTTATTTATTTTCTTGGAGTAGAAATAAAAAGTATAATTTTTAAATAATGTTATACTTTATTATTGCTATTATTATTATTATTATTATTATTATTATTGTTATTGTTGTTGTTGTTGTTGTTGTTGTTGTTGTAGCCATTTTCGTTACTAATTTTTATTATTATTTAAAAATAAAAGTATAAGAACAATAAATCTCATTGAATTGCTCTACAACTACTTAATTGTAGATGATAAAAGCTGCCTAGATGTATCCCACAGCTAAGATGTTGATGCAGTCAACTTGTATGTTGCAACTGTCCAACATTTTTATAAGATGTTGACTTCCAGAATCTAAAATATCTTTTACAGACTAATAATGAAGGTTTTCATTGTCTATATATATAATAATTATATATAATGATGGTGACCTTTATTTTCTCTTTCTTTTGTTTGATCAATAGTTGGATTTAATTTTCCTCTGATTTAGCTCCTTCTTCATTGTTGCAGAAACGCATGGAAACCTTTTTTTATTTTTTTGTTTCTCACCCGATGTCCGGTATTCGCATTGGAACCCGATTATATTCGGATTCGCACCACGTAGGACCCCTTTCGAGGGGAAGCGCTCCCTACCAAGGATTGCATGGAAACCTTCATTATCTGTAAAAGATATTTTAGATTCTGGAAGTCAACATATTACAAACATGTTGGATAGTTGAAACCATAAATCCTACGTGGACCAATAGAAGATTACCATATGACTCTTTACGAAGGCCCACTTAGTCAACTAGTCAACGGTTAATGTTAGGGGCATTTTAAGACAAACGATAACTTTGAGGGCGTTTATGGTCCAAAAGGTGAAAGGAGGATATTTTAAAGATAAATTTAATAGGTTAAGGGCATTTTTAGTCTTTTTCTATTATATATGTAACACCATAAGTTTGTGGATTTTTTTTTTTTGGTCAGAAAAGTATATATATATATATATATATATATATATATATATATATATATATATATATTAGCATTTAGCAACTGCGTACAGATGAGTGGTGCCTAACTGGCACCTTGTCACAAACTATTGTTGTATTACAAAGTCCTAAAGTAGTAGTAGTATTTACTGTTGTCATGGTCATCCTATTGGAATTATCATCACGACAATTAATTACACACGAGGAACTACTAGTAATATTGCCACATTGATTTTGCCAAGTAGTGTCTTGGTCTGAGTGAGTTCCTTGCAACCCAGCCATATCCTTTGCAAAAGTCAGCTCAGCAAAAGTAGGAACATTTTCAAAAATTCTTGGCAAGTATTCCTTTCCAAAATTGTGGCCCGCTTTAGCTAGTCGATCTGCCACCATATTTTGCTCTCTGTACGCATGTTTGACGACAGGTTTACCTAGTTGGTCCAGATAGTACCTGCAATCAGCAATTAAGTTAGAGAAAGCAAAATTTTCAGATCGAATAATAGTAAAAGTCCCTTTGCATCCTCCTCCACCTCCAGAGGTGTAATATTATGATCATATGCAAGTTTCAAGCCTTGAGTTAAAGCATATAGTTCAGCCAAAATGGATGACTCATGTGGCGCCGAACCAGAAAAACCTAGAATCCATTCCGCGTTGGAGTTCCTAATTAGTCCTCATATGCCTGCCGTGTTAGCTGAAAAAGCACCGTCAGTATTGAGCTTATAACAGTGATTATTTGGAGGATTCCATTTAATGTTCTTGGCTAATTGAATTTTGTGGTTATTCATTTGATGGAAAGAAGCTAAGTAAGTGAATTCCGCAGCTTGTTTGGTAATATTGGTATAGGTAATATTACTTTTAGTGTTGTGGAACGGGTTGTCATTTCGTGTAAGCCAAATATTTCATAAACTATATGGTAAGTATGTTTGAGGGTTAATGTGAAGAGGAAGGTTGGTGTGTTTAATAAAAATGAGTTCTCTTACCCAAGTATGTGTATGTGACAGATTTGCAATAGAACTAATTAAATAAGTGAGTCCTAAGTGTTGCCAATATTTCCCAGCATTCACACATTCCAGAAAAATGTGTTTAGTGGATTCATCTTGTGATTGACAAAAACGGCAAGTTGCATCCTCAATAATATTAGTGTGTTTTAAGTAGAGCCTGGTTGGCAACCTATTATGGCAAAGAAGCCAAATAAAGCTTTTAAGTTTTGGATGGATAGGGAGTTCCCAAATCCAAGTGAAGTTATGGGACTGACTTAAAGGTGAAGGAATATTTTCTTCCAAATTGTCATATATAGACCTAATTGTAAATTTGCTAGTTTGAGTTAGACCCCAGTAAATGAGATCAGGTTTATTGGTAAAAAGGGATACATAAGTAGCATTGATTAAGTGATTTATATTATCCCCTAGGTCAAAAGTAATCTTCTCTTTAATCCATCCCATGGGTTTAAGAATTTGAGAGATTGTTAACTTAGTTTGTTCTAAAGTTAAAGGGCCTTGTATCATGGAACGCATCGTTGTGCCTGGCCTTAGCCAGGGGTCATGCCATATATTAATATGCTTGCCATCACCTATTCTTCATTGGATACGCCTTTGGCAAAAGTTCCACCCTCTGAGGATGTTATCCCATGTTTTTGAATTATTTAAAACAGTTCTTTTATGGATGTATTTATTAATAAGAATTCTTGACCACATTGCTTGAGGGGATTGAAAAATTCTCCAAGCAAGGCCCGCTAATAAAGCATTATTTTTTTCCCAATTTTTGAATACCCAGGCCACCCATAGCTTTCGAGGCCGTTACCAAGTTTCAATTAAGAAGATGCATTTTCTTTTTGACTGAGGTGGTACCCCAAAGAAAATTTCGTTGGTACTGTTCCATTTTTTTGATAATTTGTTTAGGAATCAGTATATACTGCATAATATGATTGGGAAGGTTATTCAGGGTAGAATTAATAAGAGTAGATCGACCTGTCATAGTTAAAAAACTTGTTTTCCATCCCGCTAATCGATTCTTAAAGTTATCTAAAAGAAATTGAAAGTCCTCATTCTTAGGTCGAGTAGTGAACATAGGAAACCCTAAATATTTACCAAACGAGGTGCCTTCCTTAATGGAAAAAGACTCTGTAATATAATTTCTATCATTTTGAGAGCTATTCTTGGAGAAAAAAACTTTGATTTTTCAAAATAATTTTTTGACCTAGAGCAAGAGGTAAAAGTGGTTTAAATACATCAACTATTGCATGATAAACTCTTAGTAGTAATTTTTTGAATAACAAAAACATATGATATCAATAATCAGCCAAAATACAGATAGTAGAGTCGTGTCGAAAAGTTTGAAATGGAGGCCCATTTTAGGATAAGGCTAGTTATAAGAGTGTTGCCACTGCAGTAATTCTACGCTCCATAAGTAATATAGCTACGTATAAGGACGATTTTACATATATGTCACGATCACGGTAGTTCCAAAGCGTAACCTTCTGAGGGCTGAGTTTACTAAGAGTAAATGGCATACCTCTAAACAGAGGTAGCGGAATTCTAGGCACAGCTCAA